CATCATGACATGTTTTGAGGCACCTCAAAAATCCCTTCATGACATGTTTTGAGGCACCTCAAAAATCCCATCATGACATGTTTTGAGGCACCTCAAAAATCCCTTCATGACATGTTTTGAGGCACCTCAAAAATCCCATCATGACATGTTTTGAGGCACCTCAAAAATCCCATCATGACATGTTTTGAGGCACCTCAAAAATCCCATCATGACATGTTTTGAGGCACCTCAAAAATCCCATCATGACATGTTTTGAGGCACCTCAAAAATCCCATCATGACATGTTTTGAGGCACCTCAAAAATCCCATCATGACATGTTTTGAGGCACCTCAAAAATCCCATCATGACATGTTTTGAGGCACCTCAAAAATCCCTTCATGACATGTTTTGAGGCACCTCAAAAATCCCTTCATGACATGTTTTGAGGCACCTCAAAAATCCCTTCATGACATGTTTTGAGGCACCTCAAAAATCCCATCATGACATGTTTTGAGGCACCTCAAAAATTTCATCATGACATGTTTTGAGGCACCTCAAAAATCCCTTCATGACATGTTTTGAGGCACCTCAAAAATCCCTTCATGACATGTTTTGAGGCACCTCAAAAATCCCATCATGACATGTTTTGAGGCACCTCAAAAATCCCATCATGACATGTTTTGAGGCACCTCAAAAATCCCATCATGACATGTTTTGAGGCACCTCAAAAATCCCTTCATGACATGTTTTGAGGCACCTCAAAAATCCCTTCATGACATGTTTTGAGGCACCTCAAAAATCCCATCATGACATGTTTTGAGGCACCTCAAAAATCCCATCATGACATGTTTTGAGGCACCTCTAAAATCCCTTCATGACATGTTTTGAGGCACCTCAAAAATCCCATCATGACATGTTTTGAGGCACCTCAAAAATCCCATCATGACATGTTTTGAGGCACCTCAAAAATCCCTTCATGACATGTTTTGAGGCACCTCAAAAATCCCATCATGACATGTTTTGTGGCACCTCAAAAATCCCTTCATGACATGTTTTGAGGCACCTCAAAAATCCCATCATGACATGTTTTGAGGCACCTCAAAAATCCCTTCATGACATGTTTTGAGGCACCTCAAAAATCCCATCATGACATGTTTTGAGGCACCTCAAAAATCCCTTCATGACATGTTTTGAGGCACCTCAAAAATCCCATCATGACATGTTTTGAGGCACCTCAAAAATCCCATCATGACATGTTTTGAGGCACCTCAAATTCCCATCATGACATGTTTTGAGGCACCTCAAAAATCCCATCATGACATGTTTTGAGGCACCTCAAAAATCCCATCATGACATGTTTTGAGGCACCTCAAAAATCCCATCATGACATGTTTTGAGGCACCTCAAAAATCCCATCATGACATGTTTTGAGGCACCTCAAAAATCCCTTCATGACATGTTTTGAGGCACCTCAAAAATCCCTTCATGACATGTTTTGAGGCACCTCAAAAATCCCATCATGACATGTTTTGAGGCATCTCAAAAATCCCATCATGACATGTTTTGAGGCACCTCAAAAATTTCATCATGACATGTTTTGAGGCACCTCAAAAATCCCTTCATGACATGTTTTGAGGCACCTCAAAAATCCCTTCATGACATGTTTTGAGGCACCTCAAAAATCCCATCATGACATGTTTTGAGGCACCTCAAAAATCCCATCATGACATGTTTTGAGGCACCTCAAAAATCCCATCATGACATGTTTTGAGGCACCTCAAAAATCCCTTCATGACATGTTTTGAGGCACCTCAAAAATCCCTTCATGACATGTTTTGAGGCACCTCAAAAATCCCATCATGACATGTTTTGAGGCACCTCAAAAATCCCATCATGACATGTTTTGAGGCACCTCAAAAATCCCACCATGACATGTTTTGAGGCACCTCAAAAATCCCATCATGACATGTTTTGAGGCACCTCAAAAATCCCTTCATGACATGTTTTGAGGCACCTCAAAAATCCCATCATGACATGTTTTGAGGCACCTCAAAAATCCCTTCATGACATGTTTTGAGGCACCTCAAAAATCCCATCATGACATGTTTTGAGGCACCTCAAAAATCCCTTCATGACATGTTTTGAGGCACCTCAAAAATCCCTTCATGACATGTTTTGAGGCACCTCAAAAATCCCATCATGACATGTTTTGAGGCACCTCAAAAATCCCACCATGACATGTTTTGAGGCACCTCAAAAATCCCATCATGACATGTTTTGAGGCACCTCAAAAATCCCATCATGACATGTTTTGAGGCACCTCAAAAATCCCACCATGACATGTTTTGAGGCACCTCAAAAATCCCATCATGACATGTTTTGAGGCACCTCAAAAATCCCTTCATGACATGTTTTGAGGCACCTCAAAAATCCCATCATGACATGTTTTGAGGCACCTCAAAAATCCCTTCATGACATGTTTTGAGGCACCTCAAAAATTTCATCATGACATGTTTTGAGGCACCTCAAAAATCCCATCATGACATGTTTTGAGGCACCTCAAAAATCCCTTCATGACATGTTTTGAGGCACCTCAAAAATCCCATCATGACATGTTTTGAGGCACCTCAAAAATCCCATCATGACATGTTTTGAGGCACCTCAAAAATCCCATCATGACATGTTTTGAGGCACCTCAAAAATCCCATCATGACATGTTTTGAGGCACCTCAAAAATCCCTTCATGACATGTTTTGAGGCACCTCAAAAATCCCATCATGACATGTTTTGAGGCACCTCAAAAATCCCATCATGACATGTTTTGAGGCACCTCAAAAATCCCATCATGACATGTTTTGAGGCACCTCAAAAATCCCATCATGACATGTTTTGAGGCACCTCAAAAATCCCTTCATGACATGTTTTGAGGCACCTCAAAAATCCCTTCATGACATGTTTTGAGGCACCTCAAAAATCCCATCATGACATGTTTTGAGGCACCTCAAAAATCCCACCATGACATGTTTTGAGGCACCTCAAAAATCCCATCATGACATGTTTTGAGGCACCTCAAAAATCCCTTCATGACATGTTTTGAGGCACCTCAAAAATCCCATCATGACATGTTTTGAGGCACCTCAAAAATCCCTTCATGACATGTTTTGAGGCACCTCAAAAATTTCATCATGACATGTTTTGAGGCACCTCAAAAATCCCATCATGACATGTTTTGAGGCACCTCAAAAATCCCTTCATGACATGTTTTGAGGCACCTCAAAAATCCCATCATGACATGTTTTGAGGCACCTCAAAAATCCCATCATGACATGTTTTGAGGCACCTCAAAAATCCCATCATGACATGTTTTGAGGCACCTCAAAAATCCCATCATGACATGTTTTGAGGCACCTCAAAAATCCCATCATGACATGTTTTGAGGCACCTCAAAAATCCCATCATGACATGTTTTGAGGCACCTCAAAAATCCCTTCATGACATGTTTTGAGGCACCTCAAAAATCCCTTCATGACATGTTTTGAGGCACCTCAAAAATCCCATCATGACATGTTTTGAGGCACCTCAAAATCCCATCATGACATGTTTTGAGGCACCTCAAAAATCCCTTCATGACATGTTTTGAGGCACCTCAAAAATCCCATCATGACATGTTTTGAGGCACCTCAAAAATCCCATCATGACATGTTTTGAGGCACCTCAAAAATCCCGTCATGACATGTTTTGAGGCACCTCAAAAATCCCATCATGACATGTTTTGAGGCACCTCAAAAATCCCATCATGACATGTTTTGAGGCACCTCAAAAATCCCTTCATGACATGTTTTGAGGCACCTCAAAAATCCCTTCATGACATGTTTTGAGGCACCTCAAAAATTTCATCATGACATGTTTTGAGGCACCTCAAAAATCCCATCATGACATGTTTTGAGGCACCTCAAAAATCCCTTCATGACATGTTTTGAGGCACCTCAAAAATCCCTTCATGACATGTTTTGAGGCACCTCAAAAATCCCATCATGACATGTTTTGAGGCACCTCAAAAATCCCATCATGACATGTTTGGAGGCACCTCAAAAATCCCTTCATGACATGTTTTGAGGCACCTCAAAAATCCCTTCATGACATGTTTTGAGGCACCTCAAAAATCCCATCATGACATGTTTTGAGGCACCTCAAAAATCCCATCATGACATGTTTTGAGGCACCTCAAAAATCCCATCATGACATGTTTTGAGGCACCTCAAAAATCCCATCATGACATGTTTTGAGGCACCTCAAAAATCCCTTCATGACATGTTTTGAGGCACCTCAAAAATCCCTTCATGACATGTTTTGAGGCACCTCAAAAATCCCATCATGACATGTTTTGAGGCACCTCAAAAATTTCATCATGACATGTTTTGAGGCACCTCAAAAATCCCTTCATGACATGTTTTGAGGCACCTCAAAAATCCCTTCATGACATGTTTTGAGGCACCTCAAAAATCCCATCATGACATGTTTTGAGGCACCTCAAAAATCCCATCATGACATGTTTTGAGGCACCTCAAAAATCCCATCATGACATGTTTTGAGGCACCTCAAAAATCCCTTCATGACATGTTTTGAGGCACCTCAAAAATCCCTTCATGACATGTTTTGAGGCACCTCAAAAATCCCATCATGACATGTTTTGAGGCACCTCAAAAATCCCATCATGACATGTTTTGAGGCACCTCAAAAATCCCATCATGACATGTTTTGAGGCACCTCAAAAATCCCTTCATGACATGTTTTGAGGCACCTCAAAAATCCCTTCATGACATGTTTTGAGGCACCTCAAAAATCCCATCATGACATGTTTTGAGGCACCTCAAAAATCCCATCATGACATGTTTTGAGGCACCTCTAAAATCCCTTCATGACATGTTTTGAGGCACCTCAAAAATCCCATCATGACATGTTTTGAGGCACCTCAAAAATCCCATCATGACATGTTTTGAGGCACCTCAAAAATCCCATCATGACATGTTTTGAGGCACCTCAAAAATCCCGTCATGACATGTTTTGAGGCACCTCAAAAATCCCATCATGACATGTTTTGAGGCACCTCAAAAATCCCTTCATGACATGTTTTGAGGCACCTCAAAAATCCCTTCATGACATGTTTTGAGGCACCTCAAAAATTTCATCATGACATGTTTTGAGGCACCTCAAAAATCCCTTCATGACATGTTTTGAGGCACCTCAAAAATCCCTTCATGACATGTTTTGAGGCACCTCAAAAATCCCATCATGACATGTTTTGAGGCACCTCAAAAATCCCATCATGACATGTTTTGAGGCACCTCAAAAATCCCATCATGACATGTTTTGAGGCACCTCAAAAATCCCTTCATGACATGTTTTGAGGCACCTCAAAAATCCCTTCATGACATGTTTTGAGGCACCTCAAAAATCCCATCATGACATGTTTTGAGGCACCTCAAAAATCCCATCATGACATGTTTTGAGGCACCTCTAAAATCCCTTCATGACATGTTTTGAGGCACCTCAAAAATCCCATCATGACATGTTTTGAGGCACCTCAAAAATCCCATCATGACATGTTTTGAGGCACCTCAAAAATCCCATCATGACATGTTTTGAGGCACCTCAAAAATCCCGTCATGACATGTTTTGAGGCACCTCAAAAATCCCATCATGACATGTTTTGAGGCACCTCAAAAATCCCATCATGACATGTTTTTGTGTGCTCCTACTGCATGCCACCCCTAATGCCTCCGCTCCCCCTTGACCATCACTTTTCCCTTTTTCCCAGCTTCGGAGTGGTGCTCTTTGAGCTCATCACGGGGCGCGTCCCTGTCCTTTCCATCATCATGTGCTGCTTTCCCCCTGTCATTCCCTTGCCCCCTGTCGTCCCCTTTCATTGCCCGCCTCCCAGCTTCGGAGTGGTGCTCTTTGAGCTCATCACGGGGCGCGTCCCTGTCTTGCCTATTGTGTAGCCTGGAGCCACATGTCAACTCAATGCGCCCCTCCTCATTCCCCAACCCCCACTGCCCCCGCCTCCCAGCTTCGGAGTGGTGCTCTTTGAGCTCATCACGGGGCGCGTCCCTGTCCTGCCTGATGGCATGCAGCTCGTGCACTGGGTACGTCTCCCCACCCTACCACTGTGTCTGCAGTTATACTTTCAAATTTGGCTTTTGAGTCGACTCAAAAGTCACCGCGTCCCTGTCTTGCCCGATGGCATGCAGCTCGTGCACTGGGTACGTCTCTTCTCTTCAGCACCTGTGACTGCATGTCACATATTCTCACTGCATGTCATAGTCACATCTCCACTCTAGAATATACAATTTGCAGCATCTGATAGTTACAGGAACACCAGCATTGTGTAGGGTCTACACGTCCTTGCGCCACGTTTTGGGTCGACTAAAGAAATCTGTCTCTTACTCACTCCATGCTGCAGGCCATTCCGTTGGAGCATGCACCGTCGTCTGTCTCTTACCCATTCAGTCGGAGGAGCTGAGCGAGCCAGACTCCCTCGCAGCCAAAGTTGATATCTTATAGTTATTCTTTTCTCACTCGCTCCATGCAGGTGACGCCATTGTGTGAGCAGAAGCGGTGGAGGAGCTGATCGACTCGGACGTGCTGGCAGCGCAAGTCGGTCCTCTCGGGAACCACTCTCAAACCCAATTGCTCACCTTCTCTCACTCGCTCCATGTTGCAGGTCACACCCCTGTGTGAGCAGAAGCGCTGGGAGGAACTAATCGACCCGGACGTCCTGGCAGCGCAAGCCGGCTCCACTCCCACCGGCCCTGCTGCCGCCGCTGGTGGCGCTGATTGATACAGACGTGCTTGCAGCTCAAGCTGTTTCTTGGGAATTCTTAACCAAACTAGTCCCTCTCTTCCCTCACTCCCTCTGTGCTGCGTCCAGGTGACTCCTCTCTGTGAGCAGAAGCGGTGGGAGGAGCTGATTGACCCGGACGTCCTGGCAGCTCAAGCCGGCTCCACTCCCACCGGCCCTGCTGCCGTGCCGCTGCCGCCGCCGCCGCTGCTGCCACTATTGCTGCTGCTGGCGCTGCTGCTGCTCCGGGTGGGAGTGGTGACGCTTCGACTGCAGAGGCGGCTGGTGCCTGCTCCGGGTCAAGCAGTGTCAGCGCCACGAGCAACAGCAGCAGCGGCAGCAGTAGCAGCAGCAACAACACCACAGCACCCAGTGGCAGTAGCAGCAGTGGCAGCAGCGGTGGCAGTGGAGGTGGGAGCGCTGAGACGCCTCAAAAAGGGAATGCGAGTGGGGGGAGGCAGAGGCCGATCAGTGCGTCGCTGATCCGCTTTGCAGAGCTGGCGCACTCGTGCATCCTCTTTGACCCGCTCTCCCGCCCCTCCATGGCGGATGTGGCCCATGCCCTCCATGCCATCTATCTCGGTACGCTGCTCTCACGTGTTACATAGAACATGCCACATTAAACGTGTCACATACCACATGCCACATGCCACATCCCACTTGCCACATCATACATCCCACATGTCACGTGCCACGTGCCACATGTCACATGTCGAATCCCACACGCCACATGTGACATTCTATTTCCTGTCCCCTGCCCAACTCCCTGCTCAATCCCCGGCCCATTTTTCTGCCCAACTCTTTGCTCAACCCTGTGAGCAGACAAGGACTACAGCTCGATACCCTCCGCTGCACAACATAAGCGCTCCCAATCCCACACTCAGCACCAACACCAGAACCAGTCCCAGTCCCAGGGCCAGTCGCAGGGGCAAGGAGCCCAGTCCTCCTCCTCTCGCTCCTCCCCCACCGCCTCTGATGATGACGGCAGCAATCGCGGGTCACAGCAGAGAGGCACTCAACCCAACAGCCACAGCAGCGGCGGCAGTAACGCGAGCGGTGGTGGGGTGTTGCCCCCAAATGAAGGGTAAGATGGCAATGATGAGGCATGGTCGAGGGTATTTTGGCGGCTTCGAGTTTTAGAGGCCTGTAGTCGGTGTTTGTTGTTTACGGTTGTTCCATTTCTCTGCCCCTTTCCCTCACGCGTTTGCATTGCTCTCCTCTGTTGTGTGTGGTCAGGGGGAGTCGAGAGGAGAAGCTAGAGTTGGTACGAAAGATGCGGCAGATATTGCAGGAGGGACAAGAGGAGGAATTACGATGGGATTCTTGAATAACGTTTCAGAGGTCTAGGATATGTTATTATTACTCGATCAGATCCAGCTCTCCTCCCAAGCTTGTGGATAGGCTTGCCCATAGCATTAGTGAAGTAAGCAAGGTTGCAGCAGTAGCCAGCGTTGTTTAATATTAGGTGTCTTCGTATGGTCTTGTTTTTTGCACTTGATTCTTTTATATGTTGCTGCGGATGCTTGTTACGGAAACAAGTTGCTGGGGTACGGGGCCGTATTCTGACGTGAAGATGCTTTGAGCACATACGACACGTTTGTGAAAAGGGTCGCGTCGAATCAGAAAAAAGCCCGCCACTTTCCTCCTGAACCAAGCCCACACGCCACGCCAGCGCGGAAAAATGCCGCGTCAAACAAAAAGTTGGCAAACGCAAGAACAAGGGGGGATTTGGGTGAGTGAAACCCCGATATCTTCCCCAAATCCCGGAGGTCTCTAGGCATTCCATTCCCAAGGTCCAACCCAACCCAGCACACCCCCACCCCACTTCGGAACTCCAGTTTCACCTCCCACTGCCGCTTCTGCTGCTCCTGTGACCTAGTCACTTATCGACGAGCTACTAACCTTGGTGTGACTAGGCTTGCTGCTGCTGCTGCTGTTGCCGGAAGGTGGTTGGCGGTGAAACTGACCCGTGTTAGAGCGCTGTGAAGCGTTTTCCTAGGGGAAACTACAGCCTGAGTCGACCGTGGTCTCCTGTTTCGCTTCGAAGCGCACTATAAAAGGAGCAGCTTGGTCCATCACGAGCCGCCATGAGCGGCGTCTTGGAGCTCACTGGTGAGACCGCGTGTTCGAATCAGGACTCGTTTTGAGTCGAATCAAACGTTGAAATGAGCGCCGTGTTGGCAGTAAGACCGCGTGTTCGAATCCGAACTCTTTTTCTCAACGCTGGGTCGGACGTTGCGACAGTCTTAGAGTGCACCTGAATTAAGTACCTGAGCTTTTGCTGAACATTCTTACGAGAATTTCACTTGTAGTTTCCTGCTCGTATGCTGAATATTTGCATTCACGCCACTCTTTTAGGCCTTTACTTCCGTATTTTCTTTCCTGACATCGCTTCCTTCCTGTCGTCTTGTCGCGTCACGTCTCGTCGTGTCTCAACTGTCTTTTCCCCCTATCTCCGCGCTTCTCTATCCGCGCCATCTCCTATTCGCGATGCTTGGCGCGTGCTGCTTCACCCGCCATTGGTGGGAGCGTCGGGGTTGAGATGAGCAAGAAGCTCTTTCTTAGGCGCCTCACACTTGTCTCATCTCATCCCGTCTCGTTATCTTGTCTCGCCCATATCCCAACCTCCCCCTGTCCTGGGATCCCTTTTTCTCCTGTCTTTCTCCGCCAGTGGTGGGAGCGTCGGGGCTAAAAGACAAGTCGTCTCATCTCAACCCGTCTCGTCTCATCTGTCCCTATCCTCTTCTTCCCTTCTCCCCGGCTCCCTTTTTCTGCTGCCTTGCTCCGCCAGTGGTGGGAGCGTCGGGTCTGAAGGACAAGGAGCTCTTCACGAAGCAGGACCCGTACGTCGTGGTGGAGTACGGTTCCCAACGGTTCCGCACCAAGACAGATAAAGGTGTGTGCGATAGTTACTGAGTGTGTTCCAGAGTCGGTGGGAAAGTGCTGAAGTGTGTATGCAACACATAGAGATGCAACAGACGTGCAAGTGGGTAAGGGGGAATGCGTGTAACGCGGATGTTTGTGGCAAATCGAATTACGCAATCAAGGCGGAAGTTCGCTACCTGAATGGGTGATAGTTCGTAAGCAGCGAGCATAAGCCTATCCTATGTGAAAACGAAGTGTGCCTGTTGAAAACACCCGTGAGTTCGTTCAACTCCACATTCCACCTGCTGCCTCTCACTCCACGATCCTTCGTCGCCCTCTCATCCCCACGGACAGTGGCAACACTTGGCCTTTCTTTACCTTAGTCCAACTGCTGCTGCTGCCACGGAATAGCGTAGTGCTCAGCCTTTCCCCCCCCTCCCATCCATCCACACTCCCGCAGATGGCGGCACAACCCCGGCATTCAACTCCACGTTCCACCTGCAGCTGCTCCCAGGTGTGGAGGAGTTCTCTGCGGTGCTGTGGAATGACAACCTGGGGCGCGACGATGTGATTGGCAGCTGCCGAGTCAACTTCCGCCAGGCATTCTCCATGGGCATTTGGGACATGTGGCACCCCGTCTACACCAAGAGCCAGAAGTGAGTAACCACTGTAGATGTTATTTAGTAAGTTTACTTTATTTTTTTTTGTTAAGCGTTTTCTGTGGGCCTGAAGGGTTGCCATACACAATGGGTGTTCAGGGAATTGAACATACTTAAACCGAACATGCTTAGATTCACTAAATCACTCATACGTGTTGCTTGGTTCCCTACTCGCTGCCAGTGTCTATGCCGTGTAACCTTTCAATGTTTCCTTCCCGCTTTTATCTGTTATTGCAGGCAACGTGGCAGCCTTCATTTGATCATCAAGGCTCCTGGGGTAAGTGCAGGCCTCCCCTCCCCCCTCCCCTTCCCCTGGCCCACGTCTCTTCCTCCCATATACCTTCTCCACGTTCACACTCTCTCCCATTCACCTTCTCCCCAATGCTCCTTCCCCCATGCACTAATCTCTGCTCATGCCCACTCCAAGACTTGCTTTTCTGCTTATCAGCTCACTTCCCCTTCCCTCACCCATCCATCTCTCCTCTTCACCTCCCATGCTCCCCCCACCCTCCAACCCCTCCCCAAATCCCCACCCCAGGCTAGGGCACCTGGAGGATACCCCCCATCGTCATATCCGCCTGCACCGTATCCCACCGCACCATACCCCCCAGCCCCAGCATACCCGCCCCCATCCGGCCCACCAAACCCATACCCACCCGCCCCAGGCTACCCCACCCCTCCCCCATCCGCCTATCCTCCCCCATCCTCCTCCGCCCCTCCCCCATCCGCCTACCCTCCCCCAGCCGCCTCCCCCTATCCCCCCGCCTCCTCCTCCTACCCGGCCCCTTACCCCCAGAGCGCCCCTGCGCCTTACCCGGCTGGCCACTCCAAGCCTCCTAGCGTCTCCTCTTCAGTTAACACTGTGCTGGGAGCAGTGGGAGCATTGGTAGGATCAGCAGCAGCATATGCGGGTGCGCATGCGCATAGCCATAGCCACTACCCTCCGGCACCGTATGGGTATCCGCCCCCTCCCCCTGGCCCGTATGGGTATGGGGCTCCCCCTGTGGTGGTACACCACCATGGCCACCATGGATACGGGCACCACCATTATAAGCACAAGTACAAGCGCAAGGGGTTTTTTGGCCGCCGCAAGGGGTTTTTCAAATGAGGGAGGTTTATTGCAGTATTAATCTCTGTGCAATGCAAGCTCCTAGAGGTTTTTTTAGTCCACCTGTGCCGTATGGGTATCCTCCCCCTTCTACTGGTCCGTATAGGAATGGGGCTCCCCCGGTGGTGGTACACCACCACGGGCACCATGGTTACGGCCATGGCCATCACCATTATTAGCAAGGGGTTTTTTAGCCGCCGCAGGGGGTTCTTCAATTGAGTACGAGGCTTAAGTATATAATTACGCATGTACAAACAATGGAAGTTTTAGAGATGATTCTACTCTGTTACCAGCTTGCAGCAGCCAGCATTCGTGAAATATTAGGTGTGCTAACATCTTGTCTCCCTTATTTGATTATTTTATATGTTGCTGCGAATGTCTGTCACGGATTACTGACAGTTGCCGGGGTGGAGTATGTGAAGAGATGCTTGGAATATGTGAAAGTCACATGTCGGTGAGGAGGCTCGCGTCAAATTGGAGAAAAGCCCGCCATTTCCTTTCTGCCACACGCCAGCGTAAAAGAAAAAGCTGCCGACCAAAGCAACAGGGAGTGGGCGAAGGTGAAACCTCGTTACCCCCCCCAGCACATGGAGGTCCCTAGGCATTCCCACCCGCTTTCAGATCTCCATTCAGTTCCAGGCGAGCTACACTGGCCTAGGTGTGACTAGTGTCGCTGCCGCTGCTGCCGGAGCGTGGTTGGCGTTGGACTAGGCCCGTTGTAGAGTGCTGTGAACCGATTCAGGGGAAACTTTTGAGGCGCCTCAAACGTCGTCTCTCCTCCCGCAGTTGCCGCTGCTGCCGGAGCGTGGTTGGCGTTGGACTAGGCCCGTTGTAGAACGCTGTGAAGCGATCCACCAGGGGAAACAGCATTTAGGGGAAACCACGGTCCATCGTGGTCCCTGATTTCTCTCCGAAGCGCACTCTAAAGGAGCAGCTTGGTCCATCGCAAGCCGCCATGAGCGGCGTGCTGGAGCTCACTGGTGAGACCGCGTGCTCGAACCCAGGCTTTTTTTAGGCGCCTCTTTTGAGACACATAATTTGAGCTCCTTTCTTATCTTCTTTCGTCGAATTATAAGTTGCTATGAGCACCGTGCTGGAGCTCACTCCATGCTCTTTTCTTACTGCACGCTGAGTTGGACTCAGAGATCTGAAGAACACCTGAAGAGTTTGTTGATAGTCTTGCTGAAAGAGTCGACTCAGAAATCGGCACATCGCTTTCTTCGCGTCGTCTTGTCTCGTCGCATTTCCCCTCGTCTTGCCTTGTCCAAGCGTTGCACAGCGAACTGGCTTAGACGTATGGTTACCCCCTTTTTCGCTTTCTCTCACTCAGATCTCATTTCCTTCTCCCCTTATCCGCGCTTCGCCTATTTCCGGCCTCCCCTCGCCCGCCCCTCCTATTTCCGCCTCTCCCCTATCCGCGACTCCCTTTGTCTGCTGCACTGCGCCAGTGGTAGGAGCGACAGGGCTGAAGGACAAGGATCTTTTTCTGAGGCGCCTAATTTTTCGTCACATCTCATCCCGTCTCATCTCATCCTGTCTCGTCTCGTTCCTATCCTGTCCTCCCCTATGCCTGCCTCTCCTTCTCTTCTGCCTGTACTCCGCCAGTGGTGGGTGCGACAGGGCTGAAGGACAAGGAGTTTTTCACGAAGCAGGATCCGTACGTCGTGGTGGAGTACGGTTCTCAACGGTTCCGCACCAAGACGGATAAAGGTGTGTGCGAGAGATAGTGGTCATATGAGAGAGACAGTGGGTACGTGCGAAAGATGTGGTGATGTGTGATAGATGGTCGGAGTGTGCGACAGATGGGAGCATGTTTGACAGATGAGAACGTGTGCGACATATGAAGGTATGTGTTGGGAAGCAAGCAAGCAAGCCACAAAGCGTGTAATGCAGAAATCGTGGCGACATGGATATCGCAACTGGGGCGGAAAACGCCGTGAACGGATGATGAAATATGGCCAGGGAGCACAAGCACATATGCCTTGGTGACAACGAAAGAGGGCACTTTCTGTTCGCGGTGGCACCACCCCCTCGTTCAACTCCCCCTTTCGCCTGCTGCTGCTGCTGCTGCTGCTGCCGCCGCCGCCGCCGCCGCCGCCGCCGCTGCTGCTGCTGCTGCTGGGAAGAGAGGAGTGTTCAGCCTTTCCCCTCCCGCACATCCCTCCTAACCCTCTCCCCGCAGATGGCGGCACCACGCCTGCTTTCAACTCCACGTTCCACTTGCAGTTGCTCCCAGGTGTGGAGGAGTTCTCTGCGGTGCTGTGGAATGACAACCTGGGGCGCGACGACGTGATTGGCAGCTGCCGAGTCAATTTCCGTCAGGCGTTCTCCATGGGCGTTTGGGACATGTGGCACCCCGTCTACACCAAGAGCCAGAAGTGAGTAATTACTGTAGATGACAGTACTGTAAATTCACTGTAGGTGTGTGGGCACGCGTTCTCTGTGAGCATTTAAGACATCTGGTGGACACTAAGAGCCAGAAGTGAGTAATTACTGTAGACGTTTACTTTATTATAAGTCTGCTGCAGCCTCGTTGGCAAGCAGTTATCCTGTGCGCGTGGAACATGCCACAAGGAGCAGTGCGGTGTGGTTACTGGTTGAAGCAGTCAGTGTAGGCACTACTGTAGTAAATGCAGAGTAGTTTGGTTTTGTCCGTGAGAGCATGAGCATTCCCTGTGAGCATGAGGGGTTGTAACTCATGCTGGGCTCTCTTAGACATGTCAGATACACCTACTGTCTCTTTATAATTGCTTGCTTGCATACTCGTTGCCACTGTTGTTTCGGTGTAATCTTCTTATGGTCTCTTGCTGGGTTTTGTCTCGAATTGCAGGCAACGTGGCAGCCTTCATTTGATCATCAAGGCTCCTGGGGTAAGTGCAGGCCCCCCTTTCCCCCTTCTCTTTCCCTTGCCAACCCGCTTTCCTTCCACAAGCCTTCCCCGCATTCACATTCCCCCGCATTCACCTTCTCTCTAAAGCTCCTTCCCCCATTCGCTGGTCTCTGTTCCTGTCTACCAGCCTTGCTTTTCTGCTTCACCATTCCATATTGAATCGCTTTCCCTCCCCTCCCCTATCCCATCTCACCACTTCCTCTCCCCTCTTCTCCCCTCTTCTCCCCTCCTCTCCCCTCTTCTCCCCTCCTCCTCTCTCCCACCGTTCAACCCCTTCGTGACTCCTCACCCCAGGCCGGAGCACCTGGAGGATACCCCCCATCATCATACCCGCCTGCACCGTACCCCACCGCACCATACCCCTCAGCATATCCCCCCACAGGGTCACCCTACCCACCCCCATCCGGTTCACCAAACCCATACCCTCCAGCCCCAGGCTACCCCTCCCCTCCCCCATCCGCCTACCCTCCCCCCTCCTCCGCCCCTCCCCCATCCGCCTACCCTCCCCCCTCCTCCGCCCCTCCCCCATCCTCCTCCGCCCCTCCCCCAACCTCCCACGCCCCTCCCCCATCCGCCTACCCTCCCCCATCCTCCTCCACCCCTCTCCCATCTTCCTCCGCTGCTTCCCCATCCGCCCACCCTCCCCCCTCCTCCGCCCCTCCCCCATCTGCCTACCCTCCCCCATCCTCCTCCGCCCCTCCCCCATCCGCCTACCCTCCCCCATCCTCCGCCCCTCCCCCATCCGCCTACCCTCCCCCATCCTCCTCCACCCCTCCCCCATCTTCCTCCGCTGCTTTCCCATCCGCCCACTCTCCCCCATCCCCCTCCGCACCTTCCCCATCCGCCCACCCTCCCCCATCCTCCTCTCCCCCTCCCCCATCCGCCTACCCTCCCCCCTCCTCCGCCCCTCCCCCATCCGCCCACCCTCCCCCATCCTCCTCTGCCCCTCCTCAATCCGCCTACCCTCCCTCCTCCTCCGCCCCTCCCCCATCCGCCCACCCTCCCCCATCCTCCTCTGCCCCTCCCCCATCCGCCTACCCTCCCCCATCCTCCGCCCCTTCCCCAACAGCCTCCCCCTATCCCCCCCCTTCCGCCTACCCTGCCCCTTACCCTCAGAGCACCCCTGCGCCTTACCCTGCTGCCCACACCGCCCCTCCTGCACATGCACATGCACATGCACATGTACATAGCCATTATCCCCCTGCGCCGTATGGGTATCCTCCCCCTCCTCCTGGCCCGTATGGGTATGGGGCTCCCCCTGTGGTGGTACACCACCATGGCCACCATGGTTACCACCATGGTCAAGGTTACCATGGGCACCACCACCACTACAAGCACAAGCACCATGGTCACCACCATTACAAGCACGAATATGAGGGCGAGGGTTTTTTCGGCGAAAGCGAGGATTTCTTCGAATGAGGGAGATGTTTATATTTGTGTTCAATGGAATCTGTAGAGATGCTTTTGTTATACCTTAGCTGAGCCCCTCAAATGTCATTACAAGCCAGATTTTGTTTCTTGAGAATCGTATTGCTACCTTACCTGTCGTATCTGTACATGTTCTAATTACCTTTGTAAGTCAGTGCTCATGGGGTGGTTTGTTGCTGCGAAGTATCATTCAAATCCAACTGTCCCTTCACAGAAATACAGGGTATTTTGCATCAAGTTCACTATCGTATCTCTCGACCTGCAGAAACTACCGGTATTGGAAATCGTGTTCAGCCCAGCAGCATCAAACACCTCCTAACTAAAAGCCTTCAAGATCATCTTCATCATCACCAAAGGAGAACACTGAAGCATCAGCAGCACTAGCAAAGTTGCTTGACAGCCCAAAGAACTGAAGATTCATCTTCTTGCTCCCTTGCTCGCACCCCCGCTGCTGCTGCTCGCTTGACTGCTACTGCTCCTAAAAGTCATCCAAATCATCATCGTCATCACCAAAAGAGAACACAGAAGCATCAGCAGCGCTGGCAGCTGCAATGGCAAAGTCGCTCGACGGCCCAAAGAACTGAAGGTCCTTCTCCTTGCTCTCCCCTGCCCCCACCCCTGCTGCTCCTCCAGGCTTGACCGCTGCTGCAGTAGCTCCAGCAGCTTTAACAGCAGGACTGGCAGAACCAGCAGCAGTGCTTCCTGTAATCCCTGCCCCTGCCCCTAACGCACCCCCTGTCCCTGCCTGTGCCCCAGGGCCAGAGGCGTTACGCAGGGGGCTTCCCATGAAGAGAGCAGACGGGTCAGCAGCCACGGCAGACAGAGACGGGCTGGGACTGGGGCTGAAGCTGGGGATTGAGCTGGTTACCACGCCCTGGTTACCAGCGGTTACCGGGTTGGACGGGCCACGGAGGGGTGATGGGGCCCTCCCAACCATTCCTGTTGTTGAAGCTCCTGGTGCGGCTGGGCTGGAAGCAGCTCCTGCTGCTGCTCCTGTTGCGCCCAGGGAGGTCAGGCTCAGGCCAGAACCTGCTGGGGAACCGATTCTCCCCAATGCTGCTGCACCTCCTGCTGCCACGCCTGCTGCAGGTGAGGGAACACCAGGAGCCTCCTCTAGTCCAATCAGAGGAGGAGTTTCCCTTCTCTCCTTCCCCACCCTCCCTGCTCCGCGCCCGCTCCCCACCTCTTCCTTCTCCTCCTCCCCCCTCACCATCATCATCATCATCATCATCATCACTGTCACTAAAGATGTCTGGATGCATATCGTCCTCCTCCTCTGCCCTCCTTGATTTTCCAGTACCATTACCACCCTCAAGCGAGTGTTTTGCCCCCCCTGCTCCACCACCACCACCAGCAGCACCAGCACCACCACGAGCACCGCTAGCAGCAGCAGCAGTTCGAGAGCCTGCTAAGGCTGAGGACGATGCTGCTGGCTGCTGCTTCGCCTTCTGCTGCTGCTGTTGCTGCTGCTGGGGTGTTGCCTGGGGCTTGGCTGTCGCTCCCATCATGAAGCTCTGGAAGGAAGCTGCGAGGGAGAAGCCTGATGAGGCTGGGGGTGTGGGAGGCGAGGAAAGGGGAATGCGAGGAGAAGGGAGGAGAAGGGGGGAGAAGGGAGAGAAGGAGCTGAATTACGCCACAAACATCAGTATAGCTGCTGCTCCCATGATGAAGCTGTGGAAGGAAGCTGCAAGGGAGAGCCCTGATGAGGCTGGGGGTGTGGGGGAGAGAAAGGTGGAAGGGAGGAGAAGAGAGGAGAAGGGAGGGAAAGGGAGCTTTACATGCACCTCAATTGTCAGTAAGGCTGTCGCTCCCATCATGAAGCTCTGGAAGGAAGCTGCGAGGGAGAACCCTGAGGAGGCTGGGGGTGGGAGGGAAGGGAGAGGAGAACGGAAGGGGAAGGGATATCGGAGGGTGTTCTTCAGACATGTTAACAGTGCCTAAGACAAGTGTGGCGGTTGCTCCCATCACGAAGCTCTGGAAGGAGGCGGCGAGGGAGAAGCCTGAGGAGGCTGGGCGTGGGCGGGAAGGAAAGGGGGAATTGAGGTGAAGGGAGAAGAAGGGAGCTTAACGTGCACCTCTATCGACAGCTTGGCTGTCTCCCATCATGAAGCTCTGGAAGGAAGCTGCGAGTGAGAAGACTGAGGAGGCTGGGCGTGGGAGGGAAGGGAGAGGAGAACGGAAGGTAAGGGGATATTGGAGGGTGTTCTTGAGACATGTCAGCAGTGCCTATAAGACAGCGTGGCTGTCACTCCCCGCTTTCCAGCTGCAGGTAAACTAACAGCCACTGAGGTGGCAGCAGCAGCAGCACTCGCCTCATCTCACTCACCCTTGGTCGCTGCAGGCGCAGCACTTGTAGCAGCAGAAGCCTTGTCTTTCCCCTTGGCATCTGTCGCTCCTCCCTTCCCTACTGCAGAAGAACCAGAAACCGACGAGGTGGCAGCAGCAGCAGAGGCGGTTTTCCTCTTGGGTTGCGGCAGGGGGGCGTCGTGGTCGAGCAGAATGACCTCCACTTGCAGCCCGGGCGATGGGAGACGGCGCTGAGGGGAGCAGGTGGGGGGGTTTGGGAAGAGAGGCGGAAGGTGAAAGCGCGGGTCATTGCAGGGGGGCGTCGTGGTCGAGCAGAATGACCTCCACTTGCAGCCCAAGCGATGGGAGACGGTGCTGCAAGCAGTGGAAGTGGGACAAGGAGAGGGGCAAGGAGAGGGGCAAGGAGAGGAGAAAGGAGAGATGCTTTAGGGCTTGGGTTGCGGCAGGGGAGCGTCGTGGTCAAGAATGACCTCTAGTTGCAGCCCGGGCGATGGGAGACGGTGCTGCAAGCAGTGGAAGTGGGACAAGGAGAGGGGCAAGGAGAGGGGCAAGGAGAGGAGAAAGGAGAGATTGGGTTGCGGCAGGGGAGCGTCGTGGTCAAGAATGACCTCCAGTTGCAGCCCGGGGGAGGGGAGACGGCGCTGGGAGGAGCAGCAAGGGGTGGGACTGAAGCAGGAAGGGGAAGGGAAATGAGAAGGGCGGAAGTGAAAGGTGGGAAAGAGAGGGGGAAGATGCAAGAGTGGGTCATTGCAGGGGAGGGTCGTGGTCGAACAGAATCACCTTCACTTGCAGCCCGGGGGAGGGTCGTGGTCAGGTGTGTCCAATTGAGGTGTAATGGAAACGGGGAGGTGTAATGGAAACGGGGAGGTGTAATGGAAACGGGGAGGTGTAATGGAAACGGGGAGGTGTTATGGTAACGGGGAGGTGTAATGGTAACGGGGAGGTGTAATGGTAACGGGGAGGTGTAATGGTAACGGGGAGGTGCAATGGTAACGGGAAGGTGTAATGCTAACGGGGAGGTGTAATGGTAACGGGGAGGTGTAATGGTAACGGGGAGGTGTAATGTTAACGGGGAGGTGTAATGGTAACGGGGAGGTGTAATGTTAACGGGGAGGTGTAATGGTAACGGGAGGTAACGGGGAGGTATTCACCTTGTCGAAGTTGTCGAATACTTTACACGGAATGACGAGGCAGTTGTCAAACCTCCCCTTCCCCCTTGCTGCCCCCACTGCCTCATCAGCCATACCCATACCCGTCCTCTGTCCTGCGCTGTGTGCCTCACCCACCTCACCCACCCTGTGCTGTGTGCCTAACCCACCTTGTCAAAGTTGTCGAATTCTTCACATGGGATGACAAGGCGGTTGGGAATCATGCCTGTGTTGAGCCAGCTGGGGCATGTGGGAAAGGGGCGAGAAGGGGAGGGCCGACAAAAAAGGAAACGAGGGAGGGAGGGAGGGAGAAAGGGAGGGAGGGAGGGAGGGAGGGAGGGAGGGAGGGAGGGAGGGAGGGAGGGAGGGAGGGAGGGAGGGAGGGAGGGAGGGAGGGAGGGAGGGAGGGAGGGAGGGAGGGAGGGAGGGAGGGAGGGAGGGAGGGAGGGAGGGAGGGAGGGAGGGAGGGAGGGAGGGAGGGAGGGAGGGAGGGAGGGAGGGAGGGAGGGAGGGAGGGGGGGGGAGGGAGGGAGGAAGGGAGGAGGGAGAGAAGGAGAGAGGGAGAGTGGGAGGGACATAAGAAATGGCATGAGAAGGGGGTTCGACAAGCTCTGGAGCATTACTGCTCAAATAGGGTGCTTTCCACACAGTTTGTTCCACACAGGAGTGCAAGGTGTTCCTAACCAGGTAGGGGGGCGGTAGAGGCAGCAATAGTCCTCCCCTTCACAGGTAGGGCGACAACAAGCCACCACCACCATCACCACTTCAATACTCAGGCAATGCAAGACAAGGAAAGAAAAAACCTTCCCACCAGTAGAAATTTCCATTGTGGTCGATGAATCTGAGGGAGAAGTCACCCTCCACGGGGGCTATGCCACGCTCGCCAGGTAAGGCAAATACCCCTAGTTTTTTCCCTACTACTTCTTTTCTTACTACCTCTAGTGTCCTTCCCACCAGTAGAAATCTCCATTGCGGTCGATGAATTTGAGGCAGAAGTCACCCTCCACGGGAGCTATGCCACGCTTGCCAGGCAGGGCGAATACCACCACGCCCTCCCTCTGTGTCGACTGGTGCCACATGTCATCCGGCTATTGGCCGAGGGAGGGAGCGCGGGGGGAAAGAAAAGAATGGAGGGAGGACAGCAGCGATGGGGGGATGTGAAACTGAAAAATCTCAGCCCTTCTGTTCCAAGCCACTGATTGAAGGGATAGGTTTCAGAAGTGAGAACAGATAATAGGGGGACGATAAGGGCTCTCACCATGAAGTCTTTTGTCTTTGGATGCTTGCGGGAGTTAAAAAGAACACCTGCCAGGCATCAAAGCCACAACCATGCATGCCAGGAAAAAAATTATATGATTATCCGATTTTTGAGTCAAGAAGCTAGAGAACACTTGGCAAGAAACACAACCGTGCATGTCAAGAAGAGTGGCAACGACACAACCATGAACGTCAAGAAGAGAGATAGCTTCTAAGTGAACTCAAGGGCACAGCTGGCACTGACACAACAACGCATGTCTCGGTGAAAGATAGGTTCGGGACAATTCGAAACCCAATCCAGTCAGAATTCTGGCATTTAAATATGCACAGATTTTGATGGAAAATCTGAACGAGGAGATTACTCTTGTGGAATAACATGACACGTGGGCGCACCTGACTGGTCGGAGACAACAATGGCAGGTCGCACCCAGTAGGGGCAGCGATGAATGCGAAGGCCACGGATGTGACACCTGGCGCAACGGGATTGGATGCGGTCGGATTAAATTCGGGTGCATACGAAAACCCACTGGGCTGGCTCATTGCGAAACCAAAATCTGAATGAATCCGGCATGGCTCGGATGAGAATGGAATTGATCAATATGAGCTAATTCATTCTTTGTGAAGGAGACTCTCAGCTACTGGCAACTCACAAAATGCGGGGAAGGGTGATTTCTGTGTGCAGCTGATGGGTTAATCCTGACCGTGTACTTACTTGCGGGGTGGAGGGATAATTCCGTGCCTAACCCTGAGAATCTCTTCAAAATACTTCACATAGCGCTGGTGTGAAGGAGTGGTGCGGGATACACATGGGTGACAAGGGGTGCAAGGCGGTACAAAGGAAGGGTCTAACCCTGAGAATCTCTTCAAAATAATTCACATAACGCTGTATGTAGGAGAGGTTTGATGGAGGGGTGTGTGAGGACAGGGAGTAAAACGATGCAAAGACAGGTTAGAAAAAAGGTGACTCCTGAGACATACAAGGAAAAAAAAAAAAAAAAAAAAAAAAAAAAAACACAACAACAACAACAACAACAACAAAATTCTTGAGTCACTTTGGTACAAAATATGGGGGCAAGGCAATGAGGGCAGCAGAACAAACCTTTTGGCTGGGCAGCACAAGGGCCTTCCCATCGGTGCATCGCTTGGCATTGAAATAGTTGATCGCCTCGTCTGCAGTTGCGTAGTACTGTCGTGGGACGAGGGTGGAGGGGAATGGGAGCGAGGGACTGAGAAACATGATTGCCTCGTCTGCAGTTGCATAGTACTGTGGTGGGACGAGGGTGGAGAGGGGGGGGAAAGGGACTTATGAGTCGACTCAAAGGTCATCGCTTGGCGTTGATATAGTTGATCGCCTCATCTGCTGTTGCATAGTACTATGGTGGGGCGACGAAGGGGGGGGGGTGGACAATTGAATGGGAGCGAGGGAATGAGAAATGCGATAGCCTCGTCTGCTGTTGCATAGTACTGTAAGTGTGCGAGATTGGTGCTGGCAAGAGGCAGGGGAGAAGGTTCAGCAGTGAAGGAGCGTACTGAGGAATAGCAGCAGCAAGGAGGCCATGCGATGCGGCCTGTGCGGAAAAAGGAGGACTTGAACCGCAGCAAGATAACAGTGGGCAAAGACTTTAGTAAGAACCGGCGACATACATTGAGGAAGAGAAGCAGCGAGGAGGTCATGAGGCCTGTGCGGCCCAGTCCCTCCTTGGAGTGAATCACCAGCATGCGATCACTCCACTCTATAGGGCTGTTCTCATGCTGCTCCGAACGGCTTTCATCCACCGCACTATTGCTGCTGAAGCTGCCCTCGTGAGCACTGGCTGCTGTGGATGATGCTTCTGATGTTGATGCTGATGCTGATGCTGATGCTGATGTTGATGCTACTGCTGCTTCTGAACTTTCCCTGCTGTGGCAGCAGTGCCACCACTGCCACTGGCGCTCCCTTCCTCAGCCTTAGCAACATCCTCTCCTGTAGCACCTCCCACCATTTCCTTCCCTTTTCCCGTTTCCTCTCCTTCCTGCTTTCCCACATCCTCCAGCTTTCCCTCCCCCTCTTCCCCTCCTGACCCTTCCCCAAGCTCTTTCCCACCCCCTCTCTGCTCCTCCTCCCTACCCTTCCCTTCCTCCTCTCCCCCCTGCTTCAACCCCTCCTTCTCCTCCTCCTTACCCTCCCCCTCACCCTCTTCCTTCTCCTTCCCCTCACCTGTCTTCCCTCTCCCTCCCGCCCAACCCTCCCCTCGCTCGCCCGTCCCACAATCGGCTTTCTCCTGTCTTCAGAAGCGCTCAGCCACGCCCGGGCAGTCAAGCAAAAGTTCAGGATGATGGGCAGCGGCGGCACCTGCCCCTCGGCAATGGGGAACGCCCCCACACGCCCGTGGAATACTGACGGGTCGTATTGATAAAGGGGTTCTGCGCACAGATTGATGATCATGTAGCGACCCTGTTGTGAAAGGGTGGAGGGGAGTGAGACAGAAGAGTAATGAGGAGGGCAGGGGAAGAGGAAGGCACGTGCCCCATGGGAATGAAGAAAGCCCCCACACGGCCATCGAAGAGTTTAGGACCATACTTGTAGAGGGGCTCAGAGCACAGGTTGATGATCATGTAGCGACCCTGGAGATAGGGGTTGGGGGGTGAAAATGAGGGAAGAATTGGGCACGGAAATGTGGCAGAGAGCCTTGGGATGGGAAGTACCTGTACCAGTGCCCTCCATGTGGCCTTGGAAGAGTGAGGGGTTGTACTGGTGGAGGGGCTCTAAACACAGGTGGATTAAAGTGAAACAATTATGAAGTTAGATTGGCTGGTACTGAAGTGTGTGCCACTGGAATCAGATTCAGTAGAGGGCAAGTGAGAGTGTGAGCAGACCTTGTGGTAAGTCTCGAGGAAGTGAAGCACATCCGTCACATGGTTGCGATACAGGCCCTGGTTGGTAGGCAGGCAGGCAGGCAGGCAGGAGGGGAGAAGAGTTGGGGGAGGGGAGGGCACAGGGACGACTTTTGAGGCGCCTCAAAAGGACCTTTTGGTATGTCTCGAGGAAGTGAAGCACATCCGTCACATGGTTGCGATACAGACCCTGGTGGCATGCAGGGAGTGAGGAGAGATGGGGAGAGGAGGAAGGGGGAGAGGGAGAGAAGGGAGATTGAGTACTTGCTGAGTAAGAAACATGGATATTATGAGGAAGTGGGGCATGTCTGTGACCTCTGCATTGCTACAAGCGCCAAAGGCAGTTCATGCACCATCCATCCATCCATCCATCCATCCATCCACCCACCACCCACCCACCCACCCATCCATCCATCCATCCATCCATCCATCCATCCATCCATCCATCCATCCATCCATCCATCCATCCATCCATCCATCCATCCATCCATCCATCCATCCATCCATCCATCCATCCATCCATCCATCCATCCATCCATCCATCCATCCATCCATCCATCCATCCATCCATCCATCCATCCATCCATCCATCCATCCATCCATCCATCCATCCATCAACGCACGATAGTCACACCCAAACCCACCTCCACCATACTCATGAGGCCTACACCATATATCAACCCACGCAAACACACATGCACCGCAATCTAAAACTATACATGCACAGCCACAGCCACATGCACACCATCGCATCAGAACCCACCTCCACCATGCTCATGATGCCGGCATTTGCATCGCCCCCAGCAGGAAACCCCATAGCGATGACCCCAGCAGTGATGTATGTCATGTCCAGGTCAAACCCGCCCTGCTGAAACCGCGTCTTGTTGTGCGACGCCAGTCCACACATACCGTAACACATGCGCCACCACATGCACCGAAACACACAACCATACATGCACCACTACATGCACGCACGCAAGGATACTACCCATCAGAACCCACCTCCACCATGCTCATGATGCCGGCATTCGCATCGCCGCCAGCAGGGAACCCCATGGTGATGACCCCAGCAGTGATGTACGTCATATCCAGGTCAAACCCGCCCTGCTGAAACCGCCTCTTGTTGTGCGACGCCAGGTGCTTCGCCTGTGTCTGAATCGCCTTCGCCGCACTCTGCGACCTCTCCACCAGCCCTTTCGTCCTATCCTGAATAACCTTCGAACCGTCCTGCAACACCTTTGTACCGCTTTCAATCCCTTTCTTCCCCTCTTCCACCCACTCCATCGTCCCTTCAACTATCTCCTTCCTCCCTTCCTCCACCAACTCCTTAGTCGCCTCCATTAACCCACGTGTCCCTATCACAAACCCCTTAGTACCTTCCCCTACAAGCTCCTTAGTCCCTTCAACTAAGCCCTTAGTCCCATCTAATAAACCCTTCCTACTCTCCTCCACCCACCCTCTCGTACCCTCCATGAAACCCTTAGTGAAAGACCCCAGGGCTTGGCTTGCAGTCGCGGCGGCTGCTGCTGCTGCCGCTGCCGCTGCTGCTCCTGCGGCTGCTGCTTGCTCCTGTGCCTGCGCCTGTGCACGTGCTGTCGCCTGTGCTTTAGCAAGCTTCTCAGCCTTCAACTGAGCCTGCCTCTGTGCCCGGGCCTCTGCCTCTGCTTGCTTCTCTGCTTCTGCTTGTTTTGCTGCCTTGTTCTCTGCCTGTGCCATTTGCTCCCCTGTCCCGACCCCTGAGTCATCCTCTTCAGTGGCAATCGCTTTGCCCTTGTCAGCGGAGGTCAGCCTGCCGCCTCCTCCTCCTCCATCTGTCCCTGCCTCTTCGCCTATCTCACCACCAGCATCACCACCAGCACCATCACCAGCACCATCACCAGCACCAGCACCAGCACCATCAGCACCAGCACCAGCATCACCACTACTGCCACTACCACCCTTGCCCTCCTCCCCATCCTCCTCCTCCTCGCCCTCACTACCCAGCGCATCCATGACAGCAGCAAACGCTGCTTCTGTGTCCTCATCCGCGTCCTCCCCTGCAGTCGCCGCCCACTCTAGGATCTCCGCCACCAAGTCATCCCCCCCATCAACGTCCCCAGCTTCCTCTGCCTCCTCCCCCCCATTCTCCGCCTTTTCAGACCCCCCTTCCTTCCCGGCCGCCCCTTCTTCCTCCTTCCCCTTCTCTTCCTCCACTTCCTTCGATTCTGCATCTCCCGCCGTCCGCCCCTCCACTCGTGTTTCTGCCTCTGCCCCGTTCTCTCCTTCTTCCTCCTTTGCTCCTCCTCCCTTTGCACCCTCTCCTGCGTCACTGTCCCCGGCCACCACTGTTGCAGCCACCTTCCCTTCTGTCTTCCCTTCTCCCTTGCCTTCTCCCTTCCCTCCTTCCATATTTCCTCCCTTTTCACTATCAACCCCCTTTCCGATCCCCTCTGCACCCGCACCAACCCCACTTGCCCCTCCCAGCCTCTCACCTCTCCCTCCTCCACCACCACCCCTCCCTCGCCCCCTGCCCTGGCCTGCACCACGCCCAGCACCACCAGCAGCCGGAGCAGCAGCAGGGGCAGACGAGACCGAGAACGACTGCCACAGCTGCTGCATCCCAGCTGCTGCTGCCCCTGCTGCTGCCGCCGCTGCCTCTGCTGCTGCCTGCCTACCACTCCCACTCCCACTGCCACCGCCCGCACTGCCACTGCCACTCCCTCCAGGCGCGCCCGCGCCCTTCTCAGAGAGCGACGTGAAGAACGACCCCAGGGCAGCGCGCGCGTTCTCCTGCAGCTTCTCCGCGCTTTTTAGCACCTCCTTGGCGGACTCGCGCACTGCTGCGCCGTCCACTGGCGCTACCCCCACCAGCCCGCCCAGCCCTGCTGCCCCCCCTGATGCGCTGCGGACCACTGGAACCCCTCCCCCTGCTGCTGCTCCTCCCCCTCCTCCTCCTGCTGCCCCTCCTCCTCCTGACGCTGTTCTACCTGTGGAACCAGGCTTGCTTCCTGCCCCATCCACGACTCCTTGTCTCCCCTCTCCCCTTCCTCTCCCTGCCGTTCCTCCTCCTCGTCCTGCCGCCCCACTGCCACTGCCTGGGACTGACCGACCAACTCCCCCACCTCCACCTGTTCTCCCTGTCGCAGGGCTTGACGAAGAGTCAGGCGACGGGCTGGCGAGGGACGAGCGAAGCGACTGCAGGCCCTTGGAGAAGAGCGAGTAACCTGGTAACGCCTGCGCCTGCTCTAGTAGCGATGGCGGCGGAACAGATGCCTCAGTGGTGTACCGCCTTGCCGCGTCAGACGATGGCTTCGCGGACCTGCCGCCGCTGCCGCCGCTGCCGCCTCTGCCGCCGCTGCTGCTGCCCGTCCTAGTAGGTTCCCTACCTCTCCCCCTTCCCCCTCTCTCCGCTCCGCCCCTTTCCCCGCTTGCCTTGCTTCCGCTCCCTTCCGATCCGCCTTCGCTGCGGCTACTCGTTGCAGTAGGCCCGGATGACGTGGCAGGATCAAGCGCAGACTCAGTTGACGTGGCGGCTGCAGCAGGGCCAGACGACGTGGCAGGATCACCGTGGGACCCAACAGACGGAGCCACGTCAGAAGGAGCAGGCTGAATGTCGGAGCCAGCAGAAATGGGACCGCTTGCGTCTCCTGCTGACGTGGATATGGACGCGTCTGACGTCACTGGTGTACCGCCTGCAGCAACCGGCGATTGGTCAGACTGTACCGTGGTGGCGGATGCGAGTGCAGAGCCCGTTACAGGCTCCGCATGCTCTGGTGCAGGCTTATCTGGTGCAGGCGTATCTGGTGAAGCCGAATCCGGTGCAGGTGTCGCCTGTGCCAAAGTTGTTGCATCTGTTGGTGGGGTATCCGTCGCAGACGGTTCGTGCGACGATTCCGCAGTTGACGAATCCATGGCTCCGGATCAGTCCAATACCGACTTCTTCAGAAGAGATCCTACAGTTCGAGCGACAGATTTACTACCTAACAATTGTTTAAAGGCAGGAAATTGAAAAAGGGTAATGCCTCAGCGGGCTCTTCAATGTGCGTGTAAAACGCTACGCTTCGAAAGAAACTGCGGTTATTTCAAGGAAAGAATGGGCGAAGAAGCAACCGGACACGACAAGGTGTCCTAGCAACCGAGCTATGTCTATGTCTCGGAGGATGGAAATTCAAATGCTCTGTTGTGTTGGCCTTCTGCTGATGTCAGTGGCAACGAAATTCCAATATCTAGGCTGAGGCGGGGGGATCCCAAGGTCAGGGTAAAGGGAAGGAAGTGGCGAACATCTGCGATTTTTTCGAGCCTCGGTAACACGGCGACGATGTCTAGAAGGCTGGCGCCACCGAGCTGTTCGGGTTGTACCCTATTCGTGCTTCGTTACTATGCTTGTACAAAGTTCTCAATTCTTGATGTGTATGCCAATTGTACGAATAATCAGACAATGTCTCAAAACCAGGCGGCCCTGAGACTAGGATTCCTCCACATGAATTACGCACAGGAGACATTGTTTCCTCATAAACCTATTTCATGCTCACTCCGTAATGCGCCGCGAACTGTGATCCCTTTCGGTTTGGTCGCCTCGCCACGACTGGCGATCAATGCAATGCAGCTGCGATTGCGAGCTTGAAACGTTGAAGTCACGCTTGGGGATCGGAACAAACACAGTTGCACCAGTCAACTCGCGAGACGAGGGATGGCGCTGGTGCTGATTTGCGGCCAGCCGTGCAGCAGCAAGTCTACGATAGCGAGGCAGCTTGTAGCGGCTCTCGAGGCTGCTATTAACGAGCAGCAGAATAGCGCTCCCGGCGATAGAAGATTAAGTGTTGTCCTCCTAGGCGAGGAGCAGCTTCACATAGGCCGAGACGATGGCTACCAAAGTACGTCTTTTATTCTGGAGAGAGTTTCTGAGAGTTTCTTTTATAAATTGGAGTAGTGTTACCTTCACACAAGTAATTACTCCTTTGCTTCGTTACACCGGACAACCTTGGGTAACTTCTCATTAATCCCTAGGTCAATTCCCGGTCAACTCCCTGTCAATTCCTGGTCAACCGTGCAGATATGGTGGCCGAGAAGAATCTGCGAGGATCGCTGCGATCTGAAGTGGATCGTGCGGTCGGCAAGGATCGAATCGTGATCGTCGATTCGCTGAACGCCATCAAGGGCTATCGCTACGAGCTGTGGTGCCTGGCACGTGCTGCTGCCACCAAATACTGTGTGGTGAGTGTGAGCCTTGAGGGGTGAGTGGTGAGTCTGTGGGGGGGATTTGTAAGAAGTTTCATACATTTCACAAGGGTTATTGATACGAGCTGTGGTGTCTGGCACGCGCTGCTGCCACCAAGTACTGCGTGGTACATGGGATGCGGTGCAATCTACGTGGTGGGTGGGAGTGGTGAATGTGAGCGGTGAATGAGAGTGGCGAGTCTGTGTATGCCCTGCCTCTGCACCCCTCTGCACCCCTCTGCATCCTCTGCTTCCTCTGCTTCCTCCCTCTCTTCACCCTCCCTTTCCCCTTCCCCCTCCCCATTTCACTTTCCCCCTATCCACCCACTGTGTTCGTGCCGCCAGGTGCATTGCGACGTGGCGGCAGAGACAGCAAGGGAGTGGAATGACAGGCGCAGAAATACCCCCCCTCCCCTCCCACCCTTCCATCCTTCTTCACTTCATGCCGCCAGGTGCATTGCGACGTGGCGGCAGAGACAGCAAGGGAGTGGAACGACAGGCGCAGAGACGCAGGGGAACCCTGCTACTCTCCCCAGATGTGAGCGCGAGATGAGTCAGCCCTGCAGAACATTCACAATCAAGAAACGCAACGCAGCTCTGCTATTTTCCCCTACAGCCCTAGAGACCTAGCGAGCTCCTCCGGATCTATCCCCTCCCCTATCCAGCCTCAGCTTGGAAGACTTCCGATTTCCCTGCTCCCTCTGTTCCCCCTCCTCCGGCACTTCATTTCTCTCCCCTCCTCCTTCACTCTACCCTCCCCTGCCCCCCATCCATCCCTCTGGCCGCCATCAGCTTGGAAGACCTGCTGGGTCGATTTGAGAGGCCAGTGGGCCGCAATCGCTGGGACTCGCCCTCTTTGAACTTCATCCAGCCACCGGTATGGTGTGCAGTGCAATGCTTGTTGAATGCAGCCAATTCAGTGCGTTTGCGGTAACAAGACATGGTTGCTTGAGTGGTAAGTGTTGAATGGTGAATGGTGAGCAGTGAATGGTGAGTTTGTGAGACTGCTGGTGGACACAGGAGATGGAGACTGTCTGCGTGTTGCTCCTCTTGATTACCTTTCGAGTACCCCTTTGCTTGCTCCCAATCCCTCTGCTGGCAGAGCAAGCAGCAGAGGAGGCAGAGCGGGTTATAGGCGAGGTGGTGACACTGCTGGTGGGAGGAAGTGGAGCAGCAAACGGACAGGGGCGAGCAGGCAGAGCATTGCAACCAACAGTTGCCACTCAAACAGTGAGTGCTGGCAGAGGCAGGCTGTTGTTTGAGGGAAAACGTTTGGCTTCCGAGGCGCCTTAAAAGCCAGGGCGTTTCAACCAACTGTTGCGACTCAAACAGTGAGTGCTGGCAGAGCAAAGTGCTGTTTGTCAGTAATCACACATGCACTGATTTCACTCACCTGCTCATGCACAAGTGAGATAGCGAATCATAACACGGCAGCGTTGGCTTCGAGTGCTTTTAACTTGATGAATCTAACGCTTGATGAAATTTCACCCTGTTTTTTGGACGGTGCAGGCTACACCGTCAGATGCCAATGTGCTCTATGAGATGGACCGGGCCACAAAGGTATGGGAGTGGCTGAAGGTTCAGGTGGTCCTAGGTACACACACACATGCACGCGCACACACACACACACACACACACAAACACACACACACACACATGCACGCACGTGCGCACACACACATGCACGCACACACACCTCTTACATACTGATCGCTCTCTTTCCCTCGTGCCTTCCTTTCTCCTCCAGGAGGTGATATCTGCCGTGATGGATGCTCAGGCATCGCTAGGAGGCGCCTCATCACCATTTACTGTAAACTTGGGACCAAATAACAACATAGTATTACGGCGGCCCGTTGGTCTTCCAGAATTGCAACGGTTGCGTAGAACTTTTGTTCGACTGGCAGGGCAAGCTGCCTTATCTGGGAATGCACCTCCCAAGGATGCAGAGTCGGCAAACCGATTTTTTGCTGAGTACATTGTTCGAGAGGTCACATAACATAACCGATTTTTTTTTTGTTCAAATGCGTACTGTGGTTTCTTCCTGAGTTGATGCCTTTGCATGTCTTGCTGTATGCGTCTCCTCGGTATGATTCCGCAAAAGAATTTGTATGGCAAAGCCTGTGTGCGTGTGCCTCTCCTCAAAAGTCAGATTTCTGTGCAGAATTTGGCTGCTTGAAATACCGTTCTAAGCAGCTACAACCAATACAAGTAGAAAATGTGAATCCATTGAAATGATCGTGTAACATATACGAAGATTGTGCGACTAATTTGTTTGGGTGGCTTTCCACCACCGGCCTCGAGCTCCACATTTCTCAGCACTCTCAATGCTTCCTCGTCAACCATCCTTCGCCCTGCTTTATTACTGCCCATCGTACTCGGTTACCCTTCGCAAGGTCTCCGTCAAACACGTATCCTTCGCCGCGGAATCTCCCTGCCCCAAACGCGCGCGATTTCTCTCCCAAGCTCAGACTTTCCGGGGAAACTCCCCCAACCTTTTCCCTCGCTTGCGCTTCCCTCCCCTCTCAGTCTCCCTTCCCTCCCCTCCTATCCTTCCCCATTCGTCACCTCTCTCCCTCCCCTGCCCTGCTCCCTCCGCCATTGACCTATTCTCGGTATTTTGGCTCTCCTCTTTTCTCCTCTACCTCCTTTTCCGCCCTTGAGCCAGAATCCTCCCTGGCCCGGTAGGCCTGCGTGGTGCCGCGCATTCTCCTCCGCACCATAGACGAGCGTCGTTTCTTTTTTCAAGTTTCTAGTTAAATCGCATAACAAAAGGGCAGGATGGTGGCCGCAGGAACAACCGTGAAGGACGTGTCGCCGCATGCGTTCGTCAAGGCGTATGCGGCTCACTTGAAGCGCACAGGCAAGGTGATGATTGTGACAATAACGAGGGCCATCGGGAGTAGCTGTGGTCACGTTCACGGGCCTAGGATTTCTCCAAACCAGGGGCATGGTCAACTGCAGGCAGGAATGGGAAGCTTTTCGAATTCTGGATCGCCAGAAGCGATCTGGGATTCCGTACCTATAGCCATCGCTGGGTAGTTAATTTGCAGGTTCGACAAATACCAGGTAGATTGTGACGTTCAGCGAGGAGATGGCGCTAGGAGACATGAGTTACGTTTAGGGGTCCATCACGCGAGGGACAGAGGCTCATTGTTAAGGGGATTTTTCAGCTGACCTGGTTTGCGTCGACTCACAAGCGAAGCCCTAGTAGTAGTGAGGATTCCAGTCAACTCGTTGATGTGCTTGGGTCCGTTAAGTTTCCAGCCCTAAGCGTTTATTCATTCACTGCTTCGTAATTGCAAGGTTGGACTCGAAAGTTTGTGCAATCAGGCGCTGAAGCTGCCGCAGCTGCTGTTGCCAGACGCGATCGCTGAAGCTGCCGCCGTCAGCAGTGTTAGGGTTTCGCGTTTTTCGGTTCGCCGTTTTGCAATGACGCCGCGTCATTAGAATCTCCTTTGCCGGTACCCGCCAGAAGAATCAAGCGTTAAGCGAACTGGAAGTGTACATACGCGTTAGGAGTCTCGCGAGTGTGGGCGCGCCTTCTTCTGCAGCTCGTGTGTAGACTAAATGTTGCCAACAGAAACAGGTCACGCAGACTGCCGTTACGCACCACGTTTCTCGGCAGCACACGCTTGCAGAATGCCTCCCCATTTCTCCTCCACGCCTTTCTCCCACTCGTTCATTTCTTTCTCCGTGCTGCAATGCCGCGCCCTCCACCGCGCATTGTCTCCGGCATGTTTACTCCCCTCGTCATCCCTTCCCCCTCCTTTTCTCCGGTTTAACTCCTTTCCCTCCCTCCCTCCATCTCTTCATCCCTTTCTTGCCCTGATCTCGGTCATTCGTCCGCATTAAGGGTCCATCTTTCCTGCTCGCTTCAAGTTTTTTCAACTTGCTCGTCCCCCGCCCACCCCCTCCCCCCCCCTTCTCCCCCACCCCCCAACACTCTCCGTTGTTTGACCGCGTCAGTTTGAAGTTCCCAAATGGGGTGACATCGCTTCAGTTCGTTTCCTCCTCCACCCCCCTGCACCCCCCCCCCTCCCCCCCTCTCTTCCCCACTCCCTGCCCGCTTCCTTCCCCCGTTCCCCCACTTGCGTGACTGCATCAGATTGAGGTTCCCACATGGGCTGACATCGTCAAGACAGGAACCTACAAGGAACTTGCGCCCTATGATCCCGATTGGTACTACATCCGCGCTGGTGCGTATCGCCTCTCATTGGGACGTGGATTGCGGACTGATGCGCCTCATAAACAGACTGTTCAAAAGATAATGTCGCTGAAGCCATCATTCACTGAAAGCAACAACGGGCAGAACGGATAATGTTGCGATTCCACGTTTCCACTCGCTCCCACTCTCATGCGCTCGCATTCCTATCTCGCGTCTTGTATAAGGCTTCCTCCAGTGGGGTCGTCGCTGACGCAATACCTTTTTCGTGGCTCGTGGGTCACGAGTGGTTCTTGATCGTGCCGTAGCTAGAGTGTGACCAGCCCGTCAACGTTTATGGGCAGCCAATTTCATCACGAAGCTTGTGTTGGCGCCTTCTGAGGCGCCTCAAAGCTTGTGTTGGTGCCTTCTGAGGCGCCTCAAAACTTGTGTTGGCACTGAGACAACGCAACCCCCGTTCTTGACAATCACCTGTGGAACCTCAACCTTGCGTCCTTTCTCTCATGTTTTCCTCCTGCGTGTTCCTCCTGCGTGTCCCTCCTGCAGCCTCCATGGCTCGCAAGGTGTACCTGAAGCCTGGCGTTGGAGTCGGTGCCTTCAAGAAGATCTACGGTACGTATTTGGCGAGGGAACAAAACTCGCTTCTCTGGTTCTTCACCTCCCGCTCCTCCCTCTTATCACCCCCCCACTCTCGCGCTCTTTCTCATCCCTTTTTCACGACCAGCACTTGCAGCTGCGCTTGTTTAAGCGCTCAAAGGCTCGTCTCGCTCTCTGTGCGTTCATATCATTTGCGGCTGCGGATTCTCCGGTCCTCTCTTCTTCCACTACGCCAGGGCCCTCCACCCTTCCCCCCTGTCCCTTCTGTTCCTGCTGCCATATCCCCTCTATCCCTTTCTCATATCCTCCCCACGTATCCCCCTTCCTTATCCTCCTATCACACTCCATTCACATACCGCCCTCCCGTATCCTTCTGATATGCCCGTCTTCCATTCTTCCCCGCCCCCCTTCCCCCTCCCCCCTTTGTTCCCCTCCCAGGCGGGCCGAAGAACAACGGGTCGCGGCCGTCGCACTTCTGCAGGAGCAGCGGGTCCGTCGCCCGGCACGTGCTGCAGCAGCTCGAGTCCATCGGCATCGTCGAGCAGGACGCCAATGGGTGAGTGGCTGTGAGCGAGGGGGTGGGAGAGGACGGGATGGTACTGTGTGGTGGGTGTTATGCGGAGATTAGTAGAAGGCGCTCAGCACGTGCTGCAGCAGCTGAAGTCCATTGGTACTCGAGCAGGACGCCCAGGCGTGAGTGTGTGCGTGTGGGCGAGTGGGTGAGAGAGCGCAGAACGATAGTGAGTGGCAGGTGTTATGCGGTTGGAGTGGAAGGGGCTCAGCAGCACGTGCTGCAGCAGCTGGAATCCATCAGCATCGTCGAGCAGGACGCTAACGGGTCAATGAGCGTGTGTGAAGGGGTGGGAGAGAGAACAGGGTGGTGGTTGTGTATGATTGGGCGCTATGCACGGAGTGCGATTGGTGGCGTCATGCTGTGGTGACTGTGTGTGGCTCAGCTGTCGCTTCAGAGTGCATAGCCTGTGCTGCAGCAATTGGAAATAGTTGGCGTTGCAAAGCAGGATGCCAACGGTGAGGGGGCATACGGTGAGTGGGTGTGTTTGCGACAAGCTTTCATGCTGCAGGCCTAATGGATGTGGAGCTCTCATCCTTTTCTGAGCAGGACTTACTGGACAGAAATGAGGATCTAATTGGCCAAGGCAAGGGTGCATTGTTCGCAGCGTTGCTGTGTCTGAGAAATAAATGTCTTATTTTTCTTATGTTTGCCTGCGTGAATTGTATTTGCAGTGGGCGTCGCATCACCTCTGACGGGCAGCGTGATCTTGACCGCATTGCTGGACGAGCTGCTGCTGCTGCTGTGGAAGGTGCTGAGGAGGAAGAGTAAACTGTTGGCTTTCCTGTCATGACCAAGCCTGCTGTGTGAAGAATCCGTAGCACAATGTAGAGCGCCCATGAAATGTCAAGCTTCTTGTGCTTTGAAATATGATATCAACAGTCTCACCCTGCATTTGAAGCTGCAGTTCCTTGGGTTTATTTCACTAACAACCGAGATTCCCTGGCTGTTACTACGGTAATTACCTTGGACTTCAAGTTGTACCGGGGTGCTCCAATTTTCACCACTGTGAAAGCCTTTCTCACCGATAGCCCACTTGTTACCACCGATAATGCCGAGCCCGAACCGAGAACTGACCAAACCAACACTCGCTAGCTCCGCTGTTGTACGAGCAGCAGCGGCAGAACAGACTAGACCAGATTGCAGAAACAGCTATCTGACTTCACTTGAGCCTAGGTTACTCCGGGATACTAGGCTAGATTTGACCTGAAGCCTCCTATTCGGAACAGGGCTCCTGTTTTTTAGGACTTCCTATTTGATATTTTTTAGCATCCGACAAGATGCAGGGCGCCGAGGTTTCGAAGCAGGTGCAGCAGATGGTCGAGTTTATCCGTCAAGAGGCGGAGGAGAAGGCTAATGAAATTGCTGTTGCTGCGGAAGAGGTACAGCATGAGCACGGATAGGAGCTAGCGACTTTTATTCGTCGCGCCACTCACCGGATCCCTAGTTGGAGCCATTTCCGCGACACAATGACTTCGCTGGATCCCTAATGCGATCGCTTTTTTCGTTTCGTTCAGGAGTTCAACATTGAAAAGCTGCAGCTCGTAGAGGCGGAGAAGAGAAAGATCCGTCAAGAATATGAGCGCAAGGAGAAGCAAGTCGAGATCGCGAAGAAAATGTAAGCCCGTTATAGATCCATGATCCATCTAGTTTTATCTAGGTTAAAGGTCCACATTCCACCCAGATTTCACATTTCAGATAGGGTCAATGACGGCCTTTTTTTTTTTTTTTTTGCTGAAACAGCGATTATTCCAAGCAGCTGAATGCCTCGCGACTGAAAGTGCTGCAAGCTCAGGACTCCATTGTCAAAGAGATGAAGGCTGCAGCAGAGAAAGAGCTCTTGAAGGTTTCTAGTGACACGAAGAAGTACACTGAACTGTTGAAGGATGTGATTGCTCAGGTGAGACTCTTTATAGCTAGCGTTTCTCCTCTGATTGAAACTCCCGTTAGTTTCTCATACGGTGAACCCTTGCGTCCAGTCTCGTGATCCAAGCCTGATCTATTTTCTTGATTCCAACGTTTCTATCTATTTCAGGGACTTGTGCGCCTGAACGAGTCTGCGGTACAGCTTAGATGCCGTGAAGCTGATGTTGCTGCTGTGAAAGCTGCTCTGCCCGGCGCTATCCAGGAGTATGTAACTGTAACCAAGCAAACAGCGCCGACAGTGGACGTGGATACTGTCAAGTTTCTGCCTGCTGCACCCCACTGGTATGTTACATCCCACATATGTCGTTGGTTATGCCATGCTTATCCATCTTGCAATGTGCGCAATGTGATGTTTCATGCCATGTGGGGATCAAAAGTTGTGTTCGATCAATGGCTCTAATATGTCAATCCGTGGGCAGTGCCGGAGGTGTTGTAATGGCTTCTAAGGATGGTCGTGTGGTCTGCTCCAACACACTCGATGCTCGTCTTGAGATTGCATTCAAGCAAAATCTTCCTGCCGTGAGTCTTCCTCATGATTTGTTGCACGCACTGGCCTTATACGTTTAGTTTCTGTTTGTATTGAAATGGTCTTTATGTTCACTTGATGCTGGACTTGTCCTTGGTATGACTCTGATTTGTGTGGTAATCATGCTTTTGTGCACATGTTCCCCCCTACATGCATCGCAGATCCGTGCATCCATGTTCAAGACAAGTGTGGTCTCCTAAGCAGTGTCTTGTCATGGAATCAAGGGTAAAATTTATCAAACCAGACATTCAATGCACTTTCAGTCAACGTAATGGGTCCCTTGCTGGGAGGCAACACCAAGCAAGCTGTGTGTATGTAGGCAGACGTATAGCAGCTACCGTACTTTGGAAAACATTGCATTTATTAGCATAACAGATCAGGCTTTGTACCATTACATTAGTTGTGCTAAACGAATCCAACTATCAAACTATGGTAAATGGACGTCCTGGTACCACACCAGTAGCTTGTCACATCATGGTGTCTCCTTTCTATTGATTTGCATGTGTCGCCAAATAAATAGCTGTCAAATAATGGACTCGCGTACACCCTTCAACCCATCCTGAGACCGATTCCTGGACCTGTCTGTTTCTTCATGTACTCATCTGACAAGCGGGCTTCGTTCATCAGCTTCTGCTCGTGCTCTATTTGCTCTCCTGCCCTTACCAGCTCCTCTAGGGTTTGCTGGAGAGTGGGATGAGTAAAAGGGGAAGAGAGCATGGATGACTTGAGGAGCGGGGGGCTAGAGGGAGCGGAAGAATATTAGCATAGACTACAGTCAGCAACGAAGGGAAAGTGGTAACCTGATGGGAAGAGGGAATCAAGTGAATATGTTTAGTAGTAACATGCACGAGAAGCGCGGTGGTAAGAGCAGCATATACCGCAGGCGGGTCGACGGTGGGTCTGGTGTCCTTGCCATCGCTGCCATCGTCCCATCTCCTCGGCTTGATCAGCAGCTTGATGAGACTTTTGAGGCGCCTCGAAAGACATGCACGAGATTACAAGTATGGTGGTGGCAGCAGCGTACCGCAGGCGGGTCGACAGTGGGTCTGGTGTCCTTGCCATCGCTGCCATCGTCCCATCTCCTCGGCTTGATCAGCAGCTTCCCCACCTTGGATGGCCCTCCGTTGGCCTCCACCCACTGTGACGGTAGGCGGAAGGGTGGGTAGGGGGAAGGGTGGGGAAGAGGGATTAGGGTTGGTGGAGAGAAGGATTTTGAGTTGACTCAGAAAAGCTTCCCCACCTCGGATGGCCCTCCGTTGGCTTCCACCCACTGCGACGGTAGGGGAAAGTAGGGGAACAGGGCTTAGGGTTGGTCAGTGAACACAAGGATTTGAGTTGACTTGATAACGCTTCCTTGCCTGGGATGGCCTGTCGTGGCTTTTACTCAGTGGGAAGGAAGGGGAAATGGTTGGTGGAGGGAAGGTGAGAGGAGAACAGGGTGTGAGCTCGGCTTATAGTAGCACTAGTGTACAGTCACGATAGCATAACTTCACATGTGCTGTACACTTGGACCTCAACTGCGTTGATACACATGCTTTGTTGCAAACACACGCACACCTGCACGCACGCACACACACGCGCGCGCGCGTGCACACACACACACACACACACACACACACACACACACACACACACACACACACATGCACGCACGCACGCACGCACACACGCACGCGCGCGCGCGCGCGAACGCGCCTCCAACACTTTATCATCATATGGCAAGAAGGGCGCCATAAAAGCCCAACGCTGCTCTTGGAGAAAGAGGAACAGCAGAGAGGAGGACACAAACACACACACACACACACACACACACAAACACATCCCTTCTCTCTCCCCTTCCACACACACACACACGTACCTCGAGCACTTTATCATCGTATGTGCGAGCACGAAGGGCGCCATAAAAGTCCAATGCTGCTCTTGCAGCAAGGAAGAGAAGGTGGTCACAGAGGGGGGTGGAAGAGAAGGTGGGGGAGGAGGGAGGAGCGAGGAGAGAGGATTGCGGGGAAAGGGTAGGGTGAATAAGGGGAGGCAGAGGGAGGGAGAGAGGGTAATGGTAACACGAGTTTTTTCACGTTGTCTTACAGAGGGACATGAGACTAACGGCTTGGAAAGGCACGGAGCCAAAGGAAAGTGCTAGGAGAAAACAAGGTTGCAAGGAGAAAACAAGGTGTATTGTGGGAAGAGAGAGCGCAAGAGCGATGAACAGTGATGGCAAGAGAAGGGAACAGATAGAGCAAGGGACTCCTAAGAGATGGGTAGTATGCAAATAAGGATGGAAAGATTAACATACGTTGGTTTGGAAAGGTGTCGACAAGCCTCTCAATGTCTTGAATTGATAAGCCGTCTTTGATGTACATTCGGTACACAATATTCACTATATCCTCCCTTGTAGGCTGCCTGTAACGGATTAAGAAGGGGGAAGGAAAGGGAAAGGCGGAGAAATTGAGGGGAAAGGGTGCATGCACTGGAGGATACCATAACAGACTGCACCACACGCTACCGCACTGTACCACACCAAACCTCACCAGTAGAACTTCTCCATGCGTCCGTCCCGAATGAGGGGAGCCCACAGCGTGCTGAAATCGTTGCCAGTGACGATGATGGGCACGCGATTCAACAGGTCACTCTCGCGCCACTCCTGCCTAGAGGCTGTAGGCAGGCAGGAGGCTATGCTCACCAGTAGAACTTCTCCATGCGCCCATCACGAATGAGGGGAGCCCACAGCGTGCTGAAATCGTTTCCGGTCACAATGATGGGCACGCGGTTCAGCAGGTCACCCTCGCGCCACTCCTGCCCCACACTGGCCCGCGTGGGGTCGTCACAGAGGCTCATGAGCGTGCCCACCACCATCTGATTGTTCACCGTCGTCTGCGTGTGCGCTGGTTGTGGGGTATGGTGGGTGGGAGTGGAGGGCAGGAGAGGAGGTTGGTGAGGCTTGTTACTCTTACTGGGGTCGTCACAGAGACTCGTGCGCGTGCCCACCACCATCTGGTTGTTCACCGTCGTCTGTGTGTGCGCTGTGGGGTTGGAGTGTGGTGAAGGGGGACGTACATGATACACAGGGTTGTGTGGTGGGTTCATGGAAGAGGTGTGTTTTGAGTCGACTCAAAACACACCTGGAGTGTGGTGAACTTTAAAACTTTTTTCTCTAAGCAAGCCCTACTGGAACTTTAAAACTTTTTTACTAAACAATGCCGCTGCCACGCAAAGACACACCCCCTAAGTGGGGTTCCATTCGACTCAAAACACACCTGGAGTGTGGTGAAGCGGGACACACGTCACGTGACACGCATGATACACAGGGTTGTGTGGCAAGTTCATGGAAGATGGAATGGGGCACACATGATGGCGCATGCATGCATGCACACACACACACACTTGATGCGTGCTGCATGCACAACGCATCATGAGATGCGAGCAAGTGACTCACTCACCGAATCGGCCAATCCCAGCATCGAGGTCGTTAATCATCAGGCAGCTCATTTTGCCCTGCACACATAGGAAAGTAAGCGAACCAAAACAAATATTAAAAAATAAATAAATAAATAGAGAGAGAGAGAGAGAGAGAGAGAGAGAGAGAGAGAGAGAGAGAGAGAGAGAGAGAGAGAGAGAGAGAGAGAGAGAGAGAGAGAGAGAGAGAGAGAGAGAGAGAGAGGAGTGGGAGAAAAGCAAATGCCGTCGGTCTATTAATCTCATTTGCAGAGGCTCACCCTACTGATGAAGATTGGCTTTCGACGCGGTAACCAAAGATTTGAGACGCTTAAATCCCATACCTTATTGTTGATGACCAGGTGCGCGTCGCGGTAGCGGCTGCGAATGAGCCTCCCTGGTTCGCCAGCCCACTCGCTCTCCATCTCTCCAGCAGACAGAATGATTGGCTCTAATCCCAGCGCCTTGAATATCAACTCCACCTGAAAGGTCTTCCCCTGCCCTTTCCCACCCCAAATGCCTGCAAGAAAATATCAAAGGGGGCAAGATAACAAACAGACAGAATGATTGCCTCCAATCCAACCCCAGCAGGTCATATGCGCCTAAGGATAAAAAAGCCTACTTGTTCTTGTTGAGTTGGTTGGAACGTACCGAGGATGAGAGGGATCCTGCAGCTGAGCTGAGAAGCGAGGTAGTCCAGCTGGCAGCACGTTACAAGTGAGCGCCGTAACAATAAACAAGCCATTCTGTTCTTATCCGGTCATTTGGGACATACGTACCGAGGATGAGAGGGATCCTGCAGCTGAGCTGGGAGGCGAGGTAGTTCTTTGCAATGAATGTGACTGTAACGGGGAGTAATGGGCCGGGGTGGGGGGGGGGGGGGGGGGGGGGGGGAGAGAGAAAAACATGGGGAGGAGGGGAGACACACAACACGAGGGGGAGGCGGACTGGGGACTGCATCTGCTATTTGTGCACCTGCGAATGGTTAAGTTTTTTGCAACAGGTGCACAGAATCTCTGTTGAAATTCTTGATTTAGTTGAATTCAGATTATTGACGTGGAAATACGAAAAGTGACTCACCGACTTTGTCCTTTTGTGGCCGAAGGATGACACGAGGCACATGGAGAGATGGGGATCAGACGAAACACAGGAAACATCAGATGAGCAGGATACAGGAAGCATGAAAGCGTGACTTCAAACAAAAAGGCTATTTATCAAGTTTTGAAAGAAGTTTGCATAATCAGTACACAGTTGACATATCGCCAGAGAAAAGCAAGAAAAATCAAGAAAGTATGAGCGGAAAAAAAAAAAAAAAAAAAAAAAAAAAAAAAAAAAAAAAACGTTGAATGTGAAAGAATGCAGACAAAAGAAAACAGCAGCAGCAGCAGCAGCCTACGAGGAAGGTGGGTGCGATGTAGTAGTCCCCTTGAATGTGCTCGAACGACCGTGTCACGCTCTGGCGGTACTTGAACACTATGTCCGCTGGAGGGGTGCGGGAAGGGAAGGGGATGGGGAGGGAAGTTGGGGGACGGGGTGGGGGGTTTGAAGGTGGGAAGCAGAGGGTGACAGACAGATTCCCCCTGAATGTGCTCAAACGACCGTGTCACGCTGTGGCGATACTTGAACACTATGTCCGCTCCCACCTCCCCAGCCTTCTGCGCTCAAACGCCCACCCCTCTTTTCAGCTCACCGTCCTTCCCCAGAAAGTCCCCCACGAACACGCTGTCGATGTTGCCGTGCTTCGCGCCCACCCTCCCGCCACCCTCTCCCCACCCTCCCCCTTTTCTTCTCACCTCCCGCAACCCCCACTCACCGCCCTTCCCCAGGAAGTCCCCCACGAACACGCTGTCAGTATTTCCGTGCTTCGCGCCCACCGTGATGCGAAGGTTATCCGCCTCCGTGCCTTCTAACCCCGCGCTGAACTCTCCCCTCTCCCCTGCGTTCACCTTTCACCATCTTCAGCTCACCGTCCTTGCCCAGGAAGTCCCCAACAAACACGCTGTCAATATTGCCGGCCTTCGCGCCCACCGTGATGCGCAAGTTATCCGCCTCCGCGCCCAGCCGGTACAGATAGTCCTTCCCCTCGTAATCCTTCGCCTCCCACGACGACGCGTACCCGCCGCCGCCGCCGCCGCCGCCGCCGCTGGCGCCGTCGCGTGCGGCCGCTGCTGCAGCGGCTGCTGCGGCTGCGGCTGCGGCTGCTCCCGCCGAGGCGCCTGATCCGTGGTCCAGGCCGACCGCGTCGCCTCCGCCGCTCGCCGTCACGCGAACGACGGGTCTACTTCGGGAATTAAGCCGGGAAATCGACGGGGCTGTATGCGGTCGACGCGCGGGTAAGAAACTGCGGTTGTCGGCGCCTGACCTTGCGGCACATTGCCTTTGATGCGCCTCCTGGAAGGTAGTTACTTGGAGGGTGCATTGATGCAGCGAAGCTGCTGGACAGGACGCCATGGAATAATCAAGCCAGCTTCCTGGTTCTGGGGGCTATCCCCAAGACGTGTTGGATAGGCAGAGCAACTAAGTGGGAAACGGACTAGACTAAGTGGGAAACGGACTAAGTGGGAAACGGACTTAGTGTTTTGAGGAGGTGGAATGCGGGAGCTGAAAGGTGCGCTTTCAACCCGTACGCGTTTGAGGTCGATATCATTTTTATCTGAGACACTCTGTTTCTGCACTAGGGTTGCTCGGTGGGTCAAATTATGTTTCCCGTCTAAGAAATCTACAGTATGAAGTGTGACATTCGTTCTTGCAAACCCCCTTACAAGACCCAGATTGAACCAATCATCGTGCACGATCGCATCCACCCTGTCCCCTTGAACTTGTCCCGCTTCGGTGTGCAGTCACGCTGGGCTTTCCCGCGCATTTTGCGCCCTCGACATTTTCCCTCGAATTCTTCTTGGACATGTGGCATGAATACCGTACCAGTTTCAAGGCGGCCTGGCCAAGGAAGAGCCTACAGTTTCACCAAACCTAGAGCTTTGCCCAAAAGATTCTCCTTGAATGCTCAATAGAGCGTGGTTTGTCTACAGAGGTTACTTGAGCGGTTCAAAGCGGTAAATCGAAGCATTTGTTCCTAAACGCAGTCAACCGTTCTTAACCGTAAATTTATAGATGGAAGTCAACAGTACCGCTTTCTTTCAAGTGTGCTGTGCTTCGGCTGGTGTCCCCCACGGAAGTCTGACATGGCTCCTCCCATTTCCTGCATTTCTCGCATCTCTTTCTCGCTTGACTGACAGTCACTACACAGTTGATTCAGCTGTAGGTAACGCAGCTGATATCATCTATTCCGCGTGACGCTCGCAACAGGCCCTGATTGATGACTGACCTCAATGCGCTTGCTGGGGTTGCGAGTTATGTGCTGAGAATCTGAAACGCCGAAGCCAAAGCAGCCAGTGTTAGTTCGAGTTAAACAGTATTTGTCAGTCGTCGATCGGAGAGTTCAGACCAGGATAAGAAGAATGCGGAGGTGTTTAGTTCAAGTTCCGCTGTCGAACTTAGCTTCTATCGTCCTGGCATGTGCTGATCGCTCATTGTTAGAGGCAGAACAGCACTAACAACACACTGACAACGCTGACGCACCACCAATACCAACATACAGCTGGTGCCTCCAGTTTCCGAATATCGAGATGAACTACAGAGGACTAGTTATCGCGTGCTTCTATGGTAAGTACTGAATACTCAAGCCGTCACCCAATACAAGAAGCTATACTTCATCGCGACATCTCCAGAACTGTTCTACTCCAATTATCGTTACTTTCTGCTTTTCGTACCAGCCACGGTGAATCTCAGTCGCTTCTCATCTGACTGAAAAATAACCTCCCTCACTCTCATCACCATCGATCTCCTTCACGTGCACCAGGCGGAATGTCAGTGGCGAGCGTGTTTATCAACAAGGCCATTTTCCACGTGTATCATTTCAACCATCCGTACACGCTGGTTCTGGGTCAGACATGTTTCACGCTCGTCCTCCTACTGCTCATGCGACGGTTCCGAGTCATCAGATTGGCGCCGTTTCAGTTCTACGTCTTCCAACGGGTAAGTTTATCAGCTCAAACGGCACTTAACGGCTCTCAGCTGCCATATATGTCTTCCAACGAGTACGTACTCACGGTATGCTACGGTTTTCAACTGCCATCCTCCTACATCCTCCAACGGGTAAGTACTCATCCCAAACGGTATGAAACGGCTCTCTCATACCCGCGCTACTTACTCTTGACTGAAATTTTCCGAGATTGGCTTCTACTATTTCCGACGGGTACGCAAGCATGTCTTGATAGTAGCTCGAGCATACGCGCGCTCTTTGTCCCGAAGTGAACCTCCCGTCATCTGAGCCTGTTCTAGCTGATACGAGCCTGTTTTAGCTGATAGCTCGTTTTCGCTTCGATCTAACACGCACTGCAACTTCTGTAATGCTCGAACATTCGGATCTCCCACGTTCCGCCAGCACCCAATCCTCCAACTCTTCCTCCCTTCCCCACCCTTTCTCCCATTCTTCCCCTCCACATTCCCTGATCCCTCCCCTACCCCAAATCAGGTCTTCCTCCTGTCCTTCGCCTTCCTTCTGAAGCTCCTTCTAGACATGTCCGCCCTCTCTAGAGTGAACATCCCCATGTACGGGGTCCTCAAATCCTCCACCACTCCCTTCGTCCTCCTCCTAGATTACTTCCTCCGCTCCAAAAAGGCCTCCACACGAATCCAGCTAGCCGTTTACCTCACCACATTAGGGGGGTTCATTGCAGGGCTAGGAGACCTGACCTTTGACCTGCCAGGCTACATCCTCGCGCTATCATCCGCGTTGGCAACAGCCGCGTATGTCGTTATAGTGGGGAAGCTCGGGGAGGAGCTACAGCTGGACTCGTTCACGCTGCTGCTGTACAACAACTTTTGGTCGCTGCCATTCTCGATCCTGCTGGTGGTGTGGAACGGCGAGCTGGTGGCTGTTAGAGAGGTGCTGCACCCGCAGACCGTGATGTTCCTGTTCTACTTCGTGCTCTCCTGCGCGTCTGCGTTCATTCTCAACCTCGCCACGTACCTCTGCACACTCGTCAACGACTCGCTCACTACGAGCATTGTCGGTAAGGATGGCGCGGGTGACTGAACAAAGCAGCAACTTAGGTTCAGGAAGGAGCTGTGTTTATTGCTGCTGTTTCCCTGCCCTCACGTTTGCCTGCGCTCCCGTTGCTGCCTGCTCCTCATTCGCATACTTACTCTTAATTTTCTCACTTGCTCTGTGCTTCATCTGCTTGTGACGTTCAGGCCGAACCAAGTCCATTCTGCAAGGCCTTGGTGGGCTCTTTGCATTTGGAGATGTGCTGGTGAGACACTACTGCATATTCACACACACACACACACACACACACACACACACACACACACACACACACACACACACCATCCACCACCCCTCAACCACACACACACACATGTAGGTTATGCATATGTTGCATACATACAGCAAGATTTAGGGAACGAGGAATGACGAGAGAGTCAAAGAAACCAATGGCTTTGCTCGGCATTTGTACTATGTGTTTGTGTTGTTCTTGTTGGTTTGCTGGGAGACACAGTCAAGCACTCCGACCTCTTCCCACTCCCTATTCCCATCGAAACCTGTCCAGCCATCCTTGGTACAGCTGAAATTCCTCCCTCATCTCAGCAAATGATTTAACAAACCATCGCTCTCCCAACCTTTCCCCACACATCTCATCTTCCCTTCCGCCCTCTCCTAATCGCCTGACAAATCTTTTCATCCTCCCTCTTCTTTCTACCCGAATCCAGCTGAACCCCACGAACCTGCTGGGGCTGCTGGTTAACTCGTGTGGAATCGGGTGGTACGCATACGAGAAGTATTTGGAGACGAAGAGGAAAGCCATGTACCTGGGGTCGCCAGCCCGGCTCAAAGGCAGCCGACCCACCACTGACACCATGACCATCACCAGAGACGGCTCCCAGGTGAGCGGGTGCTGAAACGATCTAAGTGTGAGAAGGGAAGAATGGAGAAGGGGGGATGGAAACAAGGGAGGAGGAAAGCTGTGTCGATGGAATTGTCTGCGCAGCTAGGCGCACCACTGACACCATGGCCATCACCAGAGACGGCGCGCAGGTGAGTGGGTGTTGAGGAATTGGGTGGTATTCGTATGAGAAGCATTTGGAGGCGAAGAGGAAAGCCAGCCCAGCTCAAAGGCAGCCGCCCCACCACTGACACCATGACCATCAACAGAGACGGGTCACAGGTGAGTGGTTGTTGAAACGATTTAGAACAACGGAGAAAGAAGCTGTTCGGATGGAAGAAACAGGGTAGCTAGGCGCACCATTGATACCACGACCATCACTAGAGACAGCTCACAGGTGAGTGTTGTGGAACAAAAACAAAGAGGAAGCTGTGCTGGTGGAATTGCCAGGACGGTTAGCCCCACGACTGACAGCATGGCCATCAGCGATGGCCTTTGTATGGGTATCATGGAATTGACCTGTATCAGAGTAATTGCTGCAGTAGGAGGAAGTAGCAGAGTAGCTAACCCCATGACTGGCACCATGGTCTATCAGCAGGGACAAGACACATTCAAGTGAGTGTTGCTGGGAGAATCTAAAACAAAGTGGGAGCTGTGTAGGTGGGACAGCAGGGCAACTAGTCGCACCACTGGCACCTTGGCCATCACCAGGGACGACTAACTGGTGAGTGTTCTTGGGACAATTGAAACAAAAAGGGAACCGTGTAGGTGGAATTAGCAGGGCCCAAGTCCCACCACTGACACCTTGGCCATCACCAGGGACGACTCACTGGTGAGTGTTGTTGGGACAAGTCCGTAAGCACCTCAGCAGTCGGATCAAGGGCAGAGATGGTAAAGGAATGGGTTAATGGTGTAGGTGGGGCGTGTCAGAATCATGGAGAAACTCATGTAGCTGGGATGGGACTGACAGGTCATCTAAAGGGCAGCCCATTCCACTATTAAGTATCACGACTGTCAACGCATACAGACAGCTCACGTGTTGTCAACTACATGGGAGGGATAAGCATTTGGAGAGATTCGAAGTGAGGTAACAGGCTGGGCACTTTCAGAAAGGATGGCTCACATGCGCCTCTCTTGATTGCTCAAGCTATTTTGTCATTGATGTACAAAGCTAATGGCAACTGTATCTCTAAGATGTTGTTCTGTGTTGTGTTTTGTGTTCAATTACAGGTATCTCTAATCTACACTGGCAAGGAGGCAGATGGCCAAGATTCACGAAATGGCCTGGTCTGAACATGGAGGGGCACTTACAAACGTAGAAGGCACTGTGTTTGCCATGTTCTATGTTTCTAACAAGGTTAAGCGTAGCCATGATCATTCTGTCACCCTGTGTTGATAAGTAACCCGGCGCCAACCAAGTTACTTG